TTTTTGCTTTATGCCCCCACCCCAAATAAGACATCCTCTTTTTTGTCAGTCTGGTAGCCTTAGCAGTTTGGCACTGTAAATTCATAGAATCATAGAATAGTTTGGGTTGGAAGGGACCTCTAAAGGTCATCTAGTCCAACCCCCCTGCCATGGGCAGGGACATCTTCAACTAGATCAGGTGGCTCAGAGCCCCGTCCAACCTGACCTTGAATGTTTCCAGGGATGGGGCATCCACCACCTCTCTGGGCAACCTGGTCCAGTGTTTCACCACCCTCAGCATAAAAAATGTCTTCCTTACATCTAGTCTATATCTACCCCCATTTAGTTTAAAGCCATTTAACCATGCTGCTCCACAGCACAGACAGTTACCTTCTGGCGTGCAGCAATACTGAATTATCAGACCAGAATCTCCACACAATCAATAAAAAGAGACAGGCAAATCAACAAAAGGAGGCAAGCAGGTCATGTTATTGCTTTGAATTTCTCCTGAGAAGCAACTACCTTCCTCCACAGACTGCACAGGGAACGTAGACATTTAGCACAGGTCCTCATTATCAGGCTTCTACTTTTTTAATCTTAGAGTACTTATCCAAGGCATCTAAAGAAGGAGGTCACAATACTACTTTAATTGAGTTCATGACACTTGCAAAGTCAGCAGAGTTATTTGCTAGCCTGGTGGACAGCCACACCACTGGTCCCTTCCAACAGCTACTGTGGAATCTCTGAAGTTTCAGAAACTTATCCAAATGCTGCTATGTTTATAGAAGCTCCTTAATTTTAACAGTGGCTCAAAAAGGCTCTTCTCAGATATGATTTCCAACATTGTCACACTGAGTTAGACTGCGTAGTAGAGAACCATTATGGAAAGAGGATAGAGAATGGGAAGCTCAAGGATTTAAGAAAATAAATAGCTAATGGGTGTGTTACCTGGTCAGCACAGCCTCTGGTGGAAGGTATGAAATGGGGACCACATCTAGCTAATTGCCAGCATTTGCTGCTGCCTTTGCTTAGCCTCACAGCCTGGCATTGAGCACTTCTGGCCCGTGAATCCAATTGCACTTTCATCTCCTCTCCCTTCTGTGTCACCTGCCACTGGCTACAGAGCTGGAGAGAAACACAATCTCACAAGCAGATCAAGTGAAATTTATGAAGACTGAGGAGAGTCTTGTGTACGTGAAGTACTTTGTCTCAGCCTTTCTGATGATCAAACACATATCCATTCACTCTAGTTTCTATGGCAAGGCCTTGAATGTAAATATACCTGATAGAAGCCTTCACAATTTGTCTCCCAAGAATATTCTTTCCTAGTTAATACAGGAAAAACATACAGTTACCGAAAGAACCAGAGCAGTCCTACCAGCACGTTTGACTCCCTGACATACCCTGCCTTGGGTGGGAGGCATATCAGACATGAACTTGTCTTTGCCGTGTCTCACCCCGTCTCTTCCATGCAATTTCAATTACCCCAAGGAGGGACTATATTACCCTTAGAAGCTATGACAACTTTGAGACTGAAAACACCTTTGTCTGCTTACATCACTGCCAATACTGGATGACCAATTAGATACTGGAATTGTAAGAATGAATTTGAGGCCTTGGCAGCAGTTCTCCGTTCTGGGCCCTATCAAACCGCAGCCACAGCAAGGTTTCTCCATCTGCACAGAAGTACTGCCTGAGCAGATCACTGCAACCAAAGTCTATGTTGCATCCAGTGTAACTTGCTGAATATACAGAGGTGTGACTTCACTGACAGGACAAACTCCCACAGGCTTTAGATATAGGTGACATACTGAATACCGTGTATTTGTATTGTTTCACCATGAATAAAAAGAACCCAAACCTCTTTTCTAACTATGACACAATCAATTTCCTTTTCGAGTCCCTTTTAGATGTATAACGGTCCTTCATATGGCAAAGTATAAAATGTATGAGAAATACAGCATTATAAATGTAGAAATGCTATACCTGGAAAGTGGGAGACAGACTTTACCGTCAACAACAAATGAATCATCTGCTTCTCTCCCTGGAGTTGTACTTATGTCTTTTGTATTTTTAATACTTAACTAAATGTTAAGTATGTGCTTTGCTTTGTGATAAAGAGTGATTTTCCTGGTAGCCAACAGGCATAGAAGATTCTTTATTCTAGGCTCTCCTGCCCCTTAACCCTTTACCCTACATCTTGGGCTGCAAACCCCTTCCAAGAGTTGCACTCCTCCCTTTTAACAGGACAGAAGTCTAAGGACTGAATAAAGTGATTGAGACAGCCCTTCTCAGATAACAGATGGCAGACTGGAAAAGTGGGTCAGTAGCTGTCTCTTATTAAAAGAGCTAGCCTGCTCCTTCTTCATTCCTCCCCTTACAAACCAGCCTGGCTCCCCCTGGTCCTGTGGCAGCTCTTTGCTCACTATGTAGAAGTGCCACTGTGGCATGGCAGCATCTCTCACTTGATTCCTTTCCCAGGGAATCAACTTTTCTCCTTCCAACAGTATTTGGATCACAGGCTAGCTGAAGTCAGGACCTGCAATAATCCTTGGATGTCAGACCACGAGAATGAAAAATATCGTTGGTAGCCTGCAATACTTTTGCTCATGGAGGGAAAATTGCTGTGCACTAATGCAGTCGCCTGATATCAAGTAGTTGTATCAGAGCAGCACGAGGCTGCTATGTAACACCACAATAAATGTTGTGGAGTCAAATACACTTCAATCTGCACAACTTTTTTCGTGTATCCAGTCTACAAATACTTATTCCCTGTGAGCTGCTTCTCGTGTTGCCAAGGAACCTCAGGCATGAAAGCCATGTTTTGCCTGACACTGGGCCTAAACCAGTAAGGGGTCTGTGGTTTCTAGTTATAGACAAAATAAGTTGCTCAGGATTAGGACCTCTGCATACATCTTTTATGTTGTTCTGAACTACAACATCATTGTTTTGTTAACCTTAAATACGCTCTGATTCTAACACATATTTATTAGGACCTCAAGTTCCCACACTGGTAGACATGCATTCATATATGTATCTTTCTTGTTCATACTGATGCTGGCCAGAGCATGGCCAAGTTATGGATCTCGGGCCAGACTTGAGATTCATTTCTCCTAAATTAAAATGCTTACATGCCCTTAACCTACTGATTTCTTTTCACTGGTAACAAAAGGAGTAAAAGCCAACACCATAGATATCTAAAGGTACATGAGATGAATTCTGTTCTTTATGTCATTGGTGAGCTTTGGATTCTCTTCTGAGAGCTAGGTCCAGGAGATGAACATAAGACAGAGTCCAGAAAGTCCTGAATTATAGAGCTGGTCACTCCCAATACTAAATAAAGACCAAGGGCAAGCATAACTGCGGTTTTTTGGGGGGACGACGACAATGCATTTATGGTAGTGTTTCTTTTTATCATGTCTGTCCAAAACCTAATCACACAACAATTGGCCAAAACAATTCCCAAGGCTGTGGTTGAGAAAACCTCTGATGTTTTCCAGAGTCTTCTAATCCAATGTAGTCTATAAGAGAGAACTGCTGAGCTGACATTGGCATAGCCAATGCCCATGAATCTTACATTTTCACCCATGTCCTCACAGCACGGATGGCAGTGTTGATGCTTCAGCTGTTTTAAGGACCACAGGCAATTAACTACTATTACTGCTTAGGGCAGCATGCTACAAATTGCTGGCTGTGAGAAGCTTTATGAATGATCATAGATCTTGTGCTGTAAAACCTAAAACCCCCATCCAGTCTATAGGAAGAATTCTGGTCATTAACAAAAACTTCCTGCAAAGAAGAAAACCTTCTGGAGAGTGAATGAATTACAAATCTCAATTCTGCCTAATATCTTATGCACTGTACCTAACCTTCATGTTCTTTCTCATAAGTGGCATGGTACTATGATCAATATTAAAAAATGCATAGGGGGGACACTGAGTGAGAAAGGAGCTTCTCTAATATTTATGGCAGAAGCTCAAAAATATCCGAATTTCCAATTCTAAGACACATGCTATAACCTTTAGGCCATGGTGCCAAGTAAGGTAATAGAAAGAAGGGGCTGAAAGCCCTAGGACTCTGCTAATGGTTTACAGTTAATTCTTGAGTGTACTGTGAGTGCAGTTCAGCCAGAATGCAGTGCTCATGGCCAATATTAACAGAAAGGTTGGTTTCAATATAAGAAAACACCCTTTAGGAAGTATTTTCTTTTCTAAGTGATCTTAGCCCCATCTTTTTTTTTAAAACCACTCCCCTACCTCATTCTGATTGTGGCACCAGCACAATAAGGATAACAACAATTAATGGAACCACCTGATATTTGAGAAATATATAGCTCAGATATTAGTAAATTCCTTTCCATGTGGCCTAGAACACATACGTTTTGCCTGCCCGTACCAGCATTACTTGTGCCTCGTATCTCCAATAATATGTCTTCAAATCACCAGCCAGAATGAGTAAGAATAAGATGCAGAGAATCTCCCACCATCTCCTACAGATTTGCCTTATCAGAGGTGAACTTGGAGACATGTTGCTGTTAACACTGTCTCATTAGCTGGCTTTACCCATAAACAGCCATCAAGGAAATCCTACCATGCAAAAAAGAGGAAGACTAGACAGAACTGGGATACATCATCTGTCCCATGCAAGAAAAATTCCCATAACTCAAGTTCACACTTGGTATTGTTTCCAGTAATTTGCCTGAGATTTCTCACATGCAGCAGCATTTTCTGTCTTAGGAGAGAAACCATACTCAGTCAAAGAAAGTCTGGAACTTGAAGACAAGGTCTTCAGAAGGCTTAGGGAGTGAAATGGCAGATGAAGAAGGTAAGCTCATGAAATGAAGGTAGAAAAGATTGGAAGGAAACGATCAGAGAAGAAAGCTTTCCTAGTGTGGGGACCTGAACTTATCATTGGGAAGACCAACAAGGGCAGGGGAAAGTCTCATGGAAACACTGGATTTTGTTCTAGTTCTCCTGCACACCTTCAGCTCTGTGTAACTGAGGTCAGAAAACTCAGCTTACCTCGCTCACATGTTCTACCCCAATAGCCAGTGCCAGTGCAGTCACAAATGAAGCGGTTCCAGCCATCCTTGCAGACTGCATTATTCTTACATGGGTAGCTGTCACACTGCTTGGTGCTGAGGCGGGAGCAGGAGGACTTGACTCCTGCAGCATTCTGTGCCTCTGCCAGCTGCCGGATGTTCTTGCTTCGTCCATCGATGAACAAGTCTCGAATACAGCCGACATAGCCATAGTTCAGCATGGCTGTCCAAAGCTCTGTGGGAAGGATGAGTCCTGCCCGGTTCTCAGGCAGCCCACCGAGGTACATGTCACCTTCCAGATCTAGGATCTCACTCTCCCCACTAGCGGTGAACGGGGTGCGTCTGCTGTTCACTGATATAGTACCTAAATGAGGAGGATAAGGAGACATCAACACTTCCACTTACAGCCTCAGTCTAGTTCATTTTTGCCCAATAACTGAGTGAGGTTTAAGGTTCAGCGCAGGAGAGTGAAGATTCCTCCCTACCTAAATGCACTCCTAACAGAGACAATGTGTCTCACAGCTCCCTCTCCTCTTGAACCACAGGCCATAAGTACTTCCATGCAGTGACTGATCATCATGTGTCTGTATCCCAACTTTCATTATAAGGTCACAAGCATAACAATGCAATGGCTAAATAATAACATGTAAAAACTGAGCATTATTCAATGGTATTCATCCAGCAAAGCAAAGATTTACTGAGAACATACAGGAGTTTGACAGTATCAGGACTGAGGGAGAAAAAAAATAAGTGAAAGCATATTAATTCACACTACATAGCTCTTCGAGAAAACACTTCATCAGTACCTCCAAAGCTGGACCTGGATGATGGAACTAAATAGACCCTCTTCAAATTTGTAGATGGCATCAAATTGGGCAGAATGGTTGATGCATTGGAGGAAGCACAGGGCTACCATTCAGAGAAACCTTTACAAGGTGGAGCAAAGGACTGATAGAAATGTTTGATGCAAATCAACAACAATAAATACAAAATCCTACACCTGAGACAGAATAACCTCACACATAAGTACAGGCTGGAGACCAGCTGGCTAAGGAGCAGCTCTGCAGAAAAGGACCTGGGGATATGGCAGACAACAATTTGAACATGAGTCAGCAGTGTGCACTTGCAGTGACAAGAGACACCGATCACAGGTTGCAGCAAGGGAAACTCCAACTCCATAAAAAGGAACATTTTTCACCATATGGGTGGTCAAACATGGGAACAGAAACCTCAGAGAGGTTGTGGAATCACCATCCTGAAGTCATTCAAAACACAACTGGACAAGACCCTGAAGAAAGCCTAGATTGCAGCAGAGTTTGGACTAGAAATCTCCAGAAGTTTGTTTGAAAATAAATTATTCTATGCTTTTACAAAGGAAGTTAAGTATTCTAACTTCCATTTTACAAACAGGAAAATTGAGGTAGAGAAAGATAAAGGTTATCTCCAAAGAACAGTAATTATTAAAACTGTAGTAGCTTCCATATGCTCCAAGCAAGATGGGGGCATACTGCACTGAGGCCATTCCTATATATTTCAAGAAATTGTCCCAGCACATAAAATAATCAGAACATATAATACAGAAATATAATCAGAACACATGAAACAGGTGCAGAGAAGCGAAGTGACTTGTGTAAGGTCAGAGAGTGAATCCAAAGAAAAACAGGGAACATAACGCAGGTCTCACATCCCAGAGCAGCGTACTCTTCAGAAGAGCATTCAGCAGCTTTCATGATAAGGATATCTGCCCACCAGACACTCAGCTAAAAATCAGCGATTCGCTCTCCCTAGCTATAAATCATCGCATCCAAATGCCTTGTCATTAAGATAGTCTGTCCTCAGAGACAACTACTCAAGCTTTAAGATTAATTCCACATCATTGCATTTTTGTCATACACCTCTATGATAAGGTGGGAGAGTTTAGTTAATAGAGTTAGCTCTATTTTGTGTCTCTGTGAGAAAGTGCAGTTGTGTACACATGCTTTTTCTTCAGTTGTAATAGGTGTCTTCTTAGAGAACAGCACGTATGACACAGACACAAGGTATTTCATGTGTGTGATTTTCAGTAATAATTTAGGAATAATGTCAGAGGCAGCAGAGTGCCAGAAGCAACAGAGGCGTTACAAATTAATGGCTCAAAGAGAACCAGGGTTATTTGATGAATCATTTTGCAAAAACAAGCTGCAGCACTGCAGACTTTTTCCCTTTTACAAAGTAAGAAAAGAGAAGATGTGACAATACACCTACAGTCGTAAAGGCAGTGTGTCACAGAGCCACAGGATCACATCCTCTCTTCCAGCATCTCTGCTGTTACTCCTCAAAAGCAGCATGTGGAGTACATATTACTCAAAAGACTAGAATAAACCAAAATACTGGAGGGCTGAGCTCCAGACAGCTGCTACTATGGAGAAAACAAACACGACCTGCAAAAGCCACAATGGTAAAGAAACCCTCCAAAAGAGAAGAAATACCAAGGAGAAGTGTAAAACCTTGAGAAAGAGCTTGAGATGATGGAAGGAAATAGGCTAGATAGCAGCCTCAACTTTCTGCCAGTGTTTTGTACCCTGCAACTATTCCTGTGAGGAGATGGTACTAGCTCGATGCACAGCACTTTTAAGACCAATCTGCTGAGATGGAGAAATCCTGCATTGACCCTAGGAAGGAGCTGTCACATGAGCTGACTTTTTTTTTTTTTTTTTTTTTTCCAAATCCCACATTTGCAACTCTGTTTAGGTAGATCAAATCCCATCTTGAGAAATCAGAAGCATCTAAGCATCTCCTTTCCAGTCCCTTAGGTACTTCGTGCAGTGCTAAAGAGCAAACAGACCAAAAGACCCCAGTTACTGAGGGCAGAGCTGGTATACAAAGTAGTGCACTGATGCAACCATAGACCAAACTTTCCAGTAATACTTTTAGTGTCTGAATGGGTGGGACAACATGTGTGTTTTGTAGCCAATACCCAGCCAAAAACATTGTCTTGTGTAACGTGCTCAATATTCCCCAGCTAGAAATTGTGACAGGTTTTGTGGACACTTTGTATGAGCTTTCCCCAAGGACAGAAAGGTTACAGGACACTAGGTGTCCATGTCCACACTGTCAGCTTCTGTCCGAGTAGAGAGAAAAGACAGCTTTTGTTGCTCTGGCAGCCAACACAGACGAAAACATACACAAATCCTAAGGGGACTAGAGGTGCCAGAGGTTATTTGAGCACGACTGTCATGCTTCCCCAGCATTTGCGCTCCTGCCTTAGTACATTGTAGTAGTGAATATTTGGATTTTTAGGCTATTTTACTAAGCTCAGCAGAGCCTGAAGTTTTGGACTGTTACAGAAATGGGAAGAAGAAGGGGAGAGATGACACCTAATAAAGGCCTGGCTGCTTTAGTAGTGAGAATCAGAACCTCTAGGTCACTAGTTCATTAAACCCAAATGGCTGTTTTGTAGCCTACATTAAGTAAGTTTATTATTTCAGTTCAGTTTCTAGCTGACAGGCATCCACATTTAACAAATAAAAAAATTAAAAAAAAAATCTCCAAGGTGTAACCATTTTCTGGTCTGCACGTGGGAGAAAAGCCAAGGACTAAACAAGAAGAGATCCTGAACTTCCTTCTCATACCTACCAAAAGTACCACTGGATAAGAGTGGTTGATGCTTCCTAAAGGTATGGTGTGAAGAAATCAATGCCAGCATCCTGGTTTTCTGGGGAGATAAGACATCAGCCACTAGGACCATTAACCCAGTACTCATCGTCAGCAGAAAATGCAATTAAATTAAAAAAAAAAAAAAAGACAAGAACTTACAAATATGTTAATTCTTGTTGAGCAAAGTGCTTTTAATTCAAAATTTGTTATCTCTAATCAGTGTCCAGAACATCACAAACCTCCCTGCCAAGTGACAAAACAAGTCAGTCCTACAGCCTCATCCACCAAGTAGCAATGTCATCTGCCACACCTTCCTAGCCCAAATGAATGTGTGTCCCTCTTCCTGGGTTTTTACAAACTTTCTTAGCAGAGAGCTTAGTGTCATTTCTGTTTCTTCTCCTTCTGCAGCTGCCTCTCCAGGGACCAGACAGTCCCCAAGTGAGCAAGCAAAACTGAAGGCAGTACTGAACACAACTAATTGAGTTTATCCTTGGAAGTTAATTAAATTTTAGCAATTCTAAAGAAATCAAAGCTCCATTTATTTATTTATGGCTTCCTTTATAAAATGTTCTTATCAATGTCTTTAGGAGATAGCAATATATAACCACACATATTAAGTCCTAGTAGACCACCATGCCAAATACAAAGAAACCCCTCACATCATCAAAGAGAAAACCAGCTTCAGGCAAAGACCTGTTCAAACAGCTAGACTTTGCATGGTATCTAAAAGTCAGCTCTTTTGAAAACTCAAGGGAAGCAAATTCTAGCACTGCATTCTCTCTACTGATGGCGTTCAGCAACTGGAAACATAAAATTAGGGACTAAAAGCTATCATCTGGAGATCACCAGACAAATCCCAAATCCACTTGCAAATGTAAGCAAAATTCCCTTTGAAGCGATATATGGCCAGGCTTTGAGATCCCAATGGTTCAGGAAGAATTCAAGTACAATTGTTCACATATTTTCAAGATGAAGTTACAGTATTTGATCATTTTGTTTCCTTACACAATTTCAGAGTACATCATGAGTATGTTAGCTTGATATCCAGTGCTAGAAACAAACAAAATACCTCTTGGAAATTGCATGGTAGGTATATTATTAGAAATATACTATATTGCATTTTTGAAAATGAGAATCTTCAAGGAAAAAAAGGAACATCCACTGAATGGATGATATTAAGAAAGACTCGAATTTGGCATCCGAGAGAGAGTAAAGAAACCTAACTGAAAACTACAAGACACTAAAGGAAACAGAATAGGATGAAAAGGTTGATTTGTCACCATAATTTTGTCACTGGTTGTGCCCATTGCTTTTCTTTTCCTCATGACAAGATCCCAAACCCCTGCTCTTTAAAGACACAAGATTCAGAAGAAGATGGTAATATTAGGTCACAGCAATAAGTTTTCATTTGGTTTCTACTAAGTTTCTTTTTGAACAGAAACACGAAGTAGATCAGTGAGACTTTCTCAAACCAAGAACTAAATAATAATGGTTCTGAAGGATCTTAAACCTTACCACGGCCTACAAAGACGACATCACTATAACTATGTATGTAATTGCAAAGATAGGTCCAGAATATCTGAAGATCGTGAATAAAATATTAATAGACTGCCTCTGTGATATGCCATCCGAAGTTCACACTAATGTTTAATGAAAACCTAGCTATTCACAACTTTGCTTTGCTGGATAAACATCACTGGAGTAACACTAAGTTTTTGTAAGAAGGTGACTCATATCTAACAGTTTTTGAAGGTTCTGAGAATTAATACACAGCCCTAGGTCTGGATCTGAAAGATTAATCTACTTAAGAAAAAGTTATTACTCTACCTGATCTTCCATCTCGTTGAATATCCACATGATACCACTCTCCATCATTGGCTTTCTTCTGGGTGGCCTTGACTTTAATGGTCCCAGAGCCCATGTCCAGCAGCAAGTAGAGGTTCCCATCTAGAAGCTCAACTGCAAAGAAATCTACCTTTGTATTTTTCTGGCTCCTGGCATCTTTCCTCTCCTGAGGCTTGCCATGGGTGAAAAGGATCAGTCCATTGGGTTCAGTGGTTCGGAAATCAAATGAGATGGAGCCCATCCTTTTGGTATTCCATTTAGGCAGACTAATATAGGCCTCAGGTGTCTCAAAGCTGATGGGATCCAGTGTAGCCACATTCTCACATACAAATTTCACTTCCCCGTAGATCTTCATCTTAGTATCACCAATCCGTGCCAAGCGAGACAGCTCCAGACGAATGTCGTTATTCTTATAAACAACCTGCCAGACACAAGGAAAAACATCATACATCAATCCTGCATACAGTACAAATACCCCAATTACTTTCAGCCATGGGAGATAAACTTATCCCAAACGGCAATAGGGAGCAGAAAGGAGACCATGCAAGAGCCTAACACGATGACAGAAGGAGGCAGCACAACCAGGATTCTGTATAGAAATGACAGCAACAGGTACTTTGCAATGACTATAGATCAGATAAGCAGGCAGAAGAGAACATTTAACTGAAGGACAGTGAGAACAATTAACTCTACCACAGGCCCACTCTGCTGTAAAAGCTTTTGTACATAAAATACAGTGTGTGTCTGGTATCGTGCTGTTATATTTGCATAAATCCCATACAAAATACATAACAAAGTGTAACCTCCATGTCCATCTCTGCTAGCCACAGCAGGGAACTCTGTACCACCACTGTCATTTCTCTATTATTCCTAAAAGCCCACTTAACTACTAGGAGAGAGATGCAAAAAAATTTAAGCAAGTTGCTGTGAACCGTTGGTGATTGCCCTGTGGCTCCTAAAGAGCTACAAGAAAAAATGAACAAATACTTAAAATTTCTCTGACCAAGAAATCTTAGATCACTACAGGCACAAACGTGCTATAGAGATGTCTGCATAGCTTACCCTCGCTTCAAGAAACCTATGCTCTCTGTGCTAACACATAAAAGCCTGTACGTGTTCAGTGCCTGGACTCTTACCCTCTCTGGGTTAAGGACCAGAACTCTGGACTCTGTGTTGCTACATGGATGGAAATTAGCCAAGAGAAGAGTTCCAAACAGGCAAGCACTCCTGAGCACGCCTGGCTTGCTCAGGAGTCCAGACCTCCTGCCCTTGTCTTTCTCACAGGTACAGAACTAATTCCTCGCAAAGAGGACTCCTCTCTGCCCTGTGACATTCTCACAGAGGCAGGGACTGGAGAAGGCACAAAACTGAAATATTTGTAAGCTGTACTTCCTCTCAACCACCTTCCATGCCTGCTAAACCCAGAGCTGGCACATACAGCAAGCAAAACCATTTCTGCAACTAGCACAATTTTGACTGAATTCATGTTCTGCGATGCTACTGACGACTCTGATTTCTTCTAAGGAGTTATTATTTTAAAATACTTTGTGCCTATTACATATAGCATATACATACACACACATTTGATTTCTGCTTTCAAAATGCTAGCAGGATGAGTTGTCAGCAATTTGCTATGAAAAGAAAAAGGAAAGGAGATATGCATTGTTAATTTTACAAATAGGACAGGAAAGTCAGAGAAATGAGAGTGCAGTAAATATTAAAAGGCAAATGAGGGAGACAATGAGGGATAAGCTTCTAAAGTAGGTGACCTCAGGATGAAAAATAAATGAAATCACAATTCAACACATTTGTAGCAAGCAAAGAATTTCCAGCTTTTGCTAAGCATTAAAGGAGAATTTTCCCAGTGCAGCCAGCACAGCATCAGATTTTCCTGTTGCAAAGGCAGAACACCCTACATCAGAGTGAAAGGGGAAGTCAGCTGTTAATTCCCCTTTGGAGTCATTGCACAAAGCTGTAGTTCCTCCCAGCAGAGGACAGTATTGACCCACAATAGCTTGTTTTGCTCCAATTCCCAATAAAGCACTCTGCCCTCACACAGACTTCAAAAACATCAAGTCTATTAATATCTGCAACATGAATAAAATATATTTTCAATTTGTGGGACTGTAGTAGTTTCATTCTACGGATTAACCATGTCAAATGCTCTCATTAGACAGACCATACACCTCCCTCCAGTGACTCAGCAAGGCTGTGCATTACAGCCTCCCCCTCTTGCCAGACAACAAGGTGCACTTCAGCCAGACAGCAGAGACGAGCTGCAGCTACCTTTGTACCCAGGAAAGGCACACGTAAGAAGTGTGAGATGTACTCCTTGCACGTCCAGCTATCTGGACTGCCCAGGACTTCTGCACATACTTTGTGTGTGCAGCAAGTCCAGTGCTTTCCACAAACACTAGTTCTGAGCACTGCATGCAGTCCTGTCTCTGCATCTCGAGGAAACAAGAGGAGCTGAAGGTACAGAGGAAAATAAACAGAACAATTAAGAGGGTGGAACAGGATGCTTTATGAGGATAGCCTGAAAAGGCCAGGGCTCTTATATTTGGAGAGGACTGAGAAAAAATATGATTGAAGTTTACAGAAGATGGAGGTTAATGTAGAACTGCCTTTGCCAAATCCAGCAATAATAGAACTAGAGGCACTCGCTGAAACTTTTAGGATATCAGTTTAAAATGGATTTTTGGAAGTACTTATTTACAGAGAGGGTGGTGAACTTCTGGAACTTGCTGCCACAGGAGGTCGTGGAAGCAGCATCAGCAGGCTCAAAAAGAACCAGAAAGATAAATGGACAGCAAGTCCACAAACTGATATTAAAGGGAAAAGGAAGGGACAGACCTTCTAATAATCCTAATCCAATAGCAGTGGATGCTGTGGGACTGTAAGGGGAATGCACCACTGGTAGTAGCCATGCTCACACGCTCTCCCTAAACAGCACTTGCACCTGCCACTATTGGAGGCAGAATACTGGGTAAATAAATGGATTGACTGTTCTTCAGGCCCAGTAGGGCTTTTGTCATGTTCTTAATGAATCTAAGCGTATAGTAGGTTGTGCACAGTCTACTCCTTGTCCCTCTGCAGGGACAGCCTGGGAAAGAGGGTAGTTGGAAATGGGTTCCTGTGGACAGAGTCCTTCTGCCAGCACATACACATGGGACTCCCTGACTGGTACAACTTCAGCACAACGCTGCATTTTTTATTTCACCCCAGTATGGAGTTGCTTTGGTGGGCAAGAGAATGCCAGGCCTGAATGAACTGTGACTTTAATGATCCTAACATAGGAGAACTGCCCTTATAGGATACTACTAACAGTTGCTAAAACCAACACTCTTCTAAACTGTACCTTGACCCAGCCTTTCCACATATGAGAGGAGCAGACAGGTAGCACAATACCCTACATATGGTTGATGGCTGGTGTTGGGTTGTATCTAGCTATGACTCAGCCATCTGCTTTCAGCAACCTCTGCAGGTTGCTGGTAGAAGGAATATGATCACATACACATAAGCAGATTCCAGCTCTCAGCTGAGCCGCATACAGGTTACATCTCCCCCTTTCACATATTTGATACTTAAGTAACAATCACCATCTCTTCTGGGTTTATTTGGGGTTTGCTGCAAACTGCCTTGTATTTCATTAGTCATACCCGTACCACAGCCAGAGAATCCTTGAGACAGAAGGCTTTCAAAGGATCTAGAGAAAATTACATGGAGTCAGTTGTAACCCAGAAAGTCACTAACAATGGAGGATCTGAGAGCGAGTTTGAAAGAAAGGACCAAGAAAGCAAGCACAAAGGAAGACTTGGGGAAGAGAGGAGAAAGGGTGTTGAGTAGATACAAGAGTTCTGAATTCAGTCTTTTCAAAGGAACAGATCCACCCCAATCTGAATCTCTATTATTCAAGTGTTTGTTGTTCTACATTATTTTCTTTAAAAAAAACCAAACCCACAACCTAGCTTGAGAAATTTAAAAAGCACTTGTGTTTAAGGAAGAAGTACAAGTGTTCACATAGCTGACTTGAGGTATCATTGACAGCCACATTTGGACATCAAGATCTTGATGTATAATCAGGTACACCACAACTCTCAGCACTATAAACAAAAAGATAAAAATAATCCTTGGGTGTAAAACCAAGGTGAATCCTGAGCAGGAATAGAGAGCCAACAGCATCTCTGGCTTGGGCAATGAAACGCTAAGGCAGCTTCTGATAGCTGCGGTTCCATTGTTAAACCAAAAGTTCAAGAATGAGAAAAGGGAATATAATTAAATGACTGGAATGCGTGTCCCATAATGAAGAACATTCAAATTCAGTCTGTTTAATAGGTAGAGGTTAAAGGGTGATTCGATTACTATCTACGAGTACCTGTGCAGAAAATGGAATTTGGTGATAGAGGGCTCTTCAATCCATGTGACAAAGGAATAATGGGGCTAGAAATTGAAGTTAGAGAAATTCACATTTTAAAATATTATGACTTATTTTTACATGAGGGTAATTTGCTATTAAAATAATTTACTACAGGTTATGGTGTGTTCTCTGCTACTGGCAAACTTTAAATTAAAATAGTATCTTGTTTTCTCTAAAAGACATACTAAGACAGGAATTAATTATATAGCAAATCAGCCCAGATTACCATAATGGCTCTTTCTGGCCTCATAACCTATGAATCTTTGTGTTTTAATGTAATCAACAGATGCTTCAGTGCAGTTTTCCAGGATAGATGAAACACATCCTTCCCAAATGTTAAAACTGCCTGGTAAAGGAGAAGATGCTTGTGTCAATTCTGGTCTGACTTGCCACCAGTGCTTTCAGTGAGGCTTTTTTATACGTTTGTGATCCTACATTGCAACCTACCATTAAAAAGGAAGGGAAGTAAAAAGTCTAGGACAAAAAGCTTGATTCTATAATTCTAAATATATAGGCTTCAAGAACTAGTTTCTTAGAGTCACCTGCTGCAAGCCAGAGAAGAAACATTTTCGTGTTTCACTGAGGAAGCTGTCTGCCAGCAGTAGAACCTATCATCTGCATAACACTTCCTACCTCGTAGTCTCATTTTACCAGCAATCTCTGAACTAACTTGAGGGCTCTTTAGGATATACCAAAATACTGATTGAAACCCACACCTCTTTAACTCCAAATGAGGCCATGACTGACTCAGAGAGCTGTCCCTCACTAGGACATAGTCTTCTAGTGCCACTCTGGGACATGGCTTCCATAACAACTTAGAAGTAAGCAAAGCAATGCCCATAAATTTGTCCATTGTTATCAGATGGCTTTCTGAACAAAGCTGATCTTTCCTGTTTAAACAGAGACAAGCTCGAGTTCATCCCATATCTGATATGTGTATCAGAGAAGGTCAAGAGGCCTAAGGGAGTGAAGGAGATGATTCCTGTGACACATACACATCTACT